CACGATCCTTCCCGAAATAAACTTCAGATTGACCGTGCCAACACCAAGAACAGAAGCACTCGCGCCATTCCCCATCAGTACGGACCCGTGACCTGTGGCCTGGTAAGAAGAAAACAATGAAATGTCAGCACACACATGAACACCTGCACCTGTGTCGACCCACCAATCGGTGGACGGCCAAACTGAAAATACAACAAATAAATTACCGTACCCAGATGCACCACTCTCATTGTTGCTCACAATCATATTGACAGACTTGGAGTCTGCCCTTGCTTCTTATGCTTGTTTGGGCACTTGTTGGCCCAATGTTCAAGCGAACCACAAGTAAAGCAGCCCTCATCCTTCTTGTTCTTCTTGAAGGTCTTCTTACCCTTCTTCTTAAAGTCGGTACTCTGTTGGACACCGTTCTTTCCCTTGGGCTTGTGGGAATTGGAGTTCTTCTGATGCACCATATTGGCCACAGAAGTTCCTTCGACCCCTTTTCCGTGCGAGTCCTTTGCCCTTGAATTCTGCTCAACACTCAGATGGCCAATGACATCCTCCACAGAGAATTCACACCTCTGATGTTTAAGAGTGGTGTCAAAGTTCCTCCAGGAATTGGGAAGCTTAGCGATTATGCAGCCCGCGACAAACTTGCCCGGTAACTCGCACTTAAGAAGCTCAAGCTCCTTAACAATGCATATTATCTCATGAGCCTGCTCCAATACAGGACGGTTTTCAACCATCTTGTAATCGTGGAACTGCTCTATAATATACATCTCGCTCCCTGCATCGGCAGCCCCGAACTTAGATTCGAGCGCCTCCCACAAGTCCTTGGCAGACCGCACATGCAAATATGCGTCAACCAGCTTATCTCCAATCACGCTCAGAACCGCCCCGAGGAACACGACAGTGGCCTCCTTGAATGCCTTCTCCTGATCAGGAGCGATCATTCCTGTGGGAGTCACACCGGCGACCCAGAACACGTTCATGGCAGTGAGCCATAAGGTGGTTTTAGTCTGCCAACGCTTAAAGTACGTCCCCGTAAACGGCGACGATTTCAGTGCAGCAGCAAAACCAGAATTCGAAAAACTCCTACACAAATTAGGTTTTTGCATTGATAAGAAAATAGGTAGTTTTCCGATTAAATTAATCAATGAATAAATCATGAGCATGACATTAACAGCATTGATAACACACTGGTTACGATGTAAGAGAGCATGTACTACGCATATAGTAGAAACATCTACGCATATCGCTAGTACTGCTACAACAGAAAGAAACACGAGAGGGATAAACGATGTATACCCTCCAATCGGCCATGCGGCGGCGGTGGCAGTAGCCGCGGCATCCTCGGCGGCCTTCTTGTCGGCCTCGGCCTTCTCAGCGGCGGCACGGTCGGCGTCGGTCGACATGGTGATGTGGACGTAGATGAACAGAAGCGAGCAGTCGCGTAGTCGCTACCCAAAAACCTAATCGCCCCTCTCCCGTATAGGATCCAGAGAGGCAGGGTTTCGGAGGCCTGCTCTCCCGTCAACCGTGTACGCGGTGAATGGGACGGAGTCGCCGGCGGCAGCAGCAGCAGAGGAACGACGTGGGCGTGGAGGCGGAGATGCGTTCTGTTTCGTGGCGGCTAGGGTTGGCAGCGCCCCACATATATATGTGCGGCTGCGCGTGGAGAGACGTGGGCTGAACCCACGTCCAAGTCGGTAGCCCACGATCCGACGTCTCAGATCATGGCCCCACTTGTCGAAGACTCTCCGTTCCTGACCGGCAAAAAGAAGCGCATAGGGGTGAGCTCGGCTCGGCTCAATCCCGCAACCCGCGGCGCATCGTGACGAGGCGTGGCGAGGCGAGCGGAGGAGGAGGAGTGCGCGAGGGCCTCATCTCTTCTCAAGCTCCAATAGCATGAGGAAGAGAATCCCTTATAAACCACTCCAACTCTCCTTCCACTTCCGGGGTGGGACTAAACTTCCCACCACCTTGTCATGCCACCTACATGGGCCCTTAGAGATCAAATCTGAAATTGTCATATGGGATCTAGGCCCATCTCATATTTTAACAATCCCCCACCAGATCTCAGGGGCCCAGTTTGTCCTTTGTTCCAAACGCTGTTTTGATATACCAGCATCTCAGTGGAGACCGATTAAGGTTGAGCTCCACCTAGACCAAGTAGTTACGCTCCTTCACAACTGAACAATGGACTATGCCTTGAATTGTTAGTTTGGCGTCAAGAAGTTTCACCACAAGTCTCACTGATACGAGGCTGCCGAAGGCCGACCCCTCGGGTGGAGCATATTAGTCACACTCCTGGCCTGTTCATGAGCTTGCTAGAGATCACCCCAATCTCATAGACTGTGACCAGCAGTCGGGCTCATATATGTGTGTTCCTCCAAAGAACGCTCTGTAGGATAGCATCTTGCTTATGCATATAAGCCTTGGAATACATTAAGACAGTAGTCGGGTTAGTAAAGTTACTCTCCTCAGTTCACCACTGGCTTGTTTTCCCAGGTCCTACTTCACGGGATCTCCGATCACATAGGTTGGGTTACTACCATGGCAACTCATGTGGGTCTCATACCCATCTCCCTTGATGCGTTATCTATCACAACACATGATAGCCCTTTAGTAAAGGGATCTGCTAGATTCTTAGCCGTTTGAATATAATCCAACGCTATCACTCCGGAGTTCCTCAATTTTCTGACAGCTTTCAATCTCATTCTTATGTGTTTGTTCGCATCACTATACCATTCAAGTACCGACGGGTATCCGGTATAGTGAAGTCCATAGTTCATAGCACGTCCAAGTCGGTAGCCCATGATCCGACGTCGGCTCAATCCCGCAACCCGCGGCGCGGCACGGCGAGGTGAGGCGTGGCGTGGCGAGGCAAGCGGAGGAGGAGTGCGCGAGGGCCTCATCTCTTCTCAAGCTCCAATAGCATGAGGAAGAGAATCCCTTATAAACCACTCCAACTCTCCTTCCACTTTCGGGGTGGGACTAAACTTCCCACCAACTTGTCATGCCACCTACATGGGCCCTTAGAGATCAAATCTGAAATTGTCATATGGGCTCTAGGCCCATCTCATATTTCAACAGATTCGAGCAGCGTTGCTGCTATAGGTATTTCCAGCGCTGCTAGTTGGCTTTCTCTTAGTAGTGTATCTCCGTTGCAATGCACGGACAATTTTTCTAGTATAAATAATAAATGGACATTATGCATCAATGGTACGTGCCTGAGATTCCAGCAATGTGTGTGCTTTGATTAATGGCCCACTTTATTCCTTGCCCTGGACGTGTTGATTGTTGAGTTGAGTATAGAACAAGGACGCCCATAATTGAGTTGGTATAAATACTCTGGTATATAGTAGTAGTAGATGAGCACCAGACGCAGCCACTGTTTCAAATAGCCCGCTATAACTCCGCTATAGCACGCTATAGCGTTTACAAAAGGTCTTGCGCTAAGAGATTTTGGTCCAAATAAATGAACAAACATTTTAAATAGCGCGCTATAGCTCCGCTATAGCATGCTATAGCATTTGAAAGAGGTCCGGCGCTAAGATGCTTAGCGCGCTATTTAAAACTTTGGACGCAGCACGCCTAGCACACAACGATGGCCAGACCTGTGAACCCCTTACACGACGATCGTACTCTCAGTGCTTCTTCTCGTCTTCTTGGCTAATCATGGGCAATGTAAGTACTGTCACCTAGATAATCACCAGACTTATTCTTTCCGTTCAATTTTCTTTCTTCGAATTTCGGTGCATACGGTTAATTCGCCAAAGTGATTGTGTATGGATGACATGAAGATGAACATTTTGTTTTCTATTCCACAGGCAGAAACTTGGATCAAGATATGGAAAACGGCAGTGAGCTCACTTTCCCAGGCAGGCTGTGCCAAGCTAGATCCTGCGCAGATATGCCTGGGTGTTACTGCTGTTTGACAAACAACACCTGCCGCCCTTCATTCGACGCCTGCATTTCAGTTTGTCCAGGGTCTTCTTCTACCCGTCTTCTTCGCGGCCCTCCTGTCTAATTTAGTTCTTGCGTGCATTGCATGCTTTATTAGGTCTGGAATAATGTGTCATTTTTGCTCCTCGGTTATTCCTAATCATGGCAATACAACGTACACTAGAAATAAGAAAAATTACAACCATATCTGTAAACCAGCTAGAGACGACTACAATCACTAAATCGAGCCAAATGCGGGCCGCCATCATCGCCTCTTCCTCATCGAAGCCATCAAAACTTGTTGCAGTAGACAGTGGGAAAGTCGTCGAGTTAAGACCCCGTAGGGCCTGCGCACCAGAACAACAACCGCCGTCAACAAAGAGTATCGTAGATTAAAAGGATTCAACCTGAAGATGCACGAATATAGAGAAACAACGACCAGATTCGAATAGATCCACCAAAGATAGATTTACTGGAGACACACCCTTATTCCATCTTCAGGATGCTGCTGCAGTGGCTAAAGTGGGCAACAAATAGCCAAAGAAATGTAGTTTGAACATAATCATTTTCCGACGGCTAAGCAAATATACTTTAAATAGTTCGTTTAAGTTCTGGCCTGCAGTTGGTCTCCACGCTGATTGGCGCAACATGTCATCTAATAAAAAAAAGACTTAAAGGGCAAATTCAAGAAGTCTTGGCACTTAATCCGTGTCAATTCAACGACCCATATTAGGGAGAAAATTAATTGCATGTTGATATTAGGCAGGATGAAAATTAAATGCTAATTTAGTATAAATGCTAAACGTGTTGAGCACTCACCGTTGAAGCAATATAGGTCATTAGATTTACATGATTTAAGGACTGAGATTTTTTGGATATATCCATTTGGATCTTTTTATATGTAATTAATATATAATAAATCCCAAAGATTCCCGCAATCTGTCCTTTGATTGTCGATTAATGGCGCACTTTACTCCTTGCCCTGGACTCCCCTAATTTAGTTGGTATAAATACTCTGGTACTATATAGTAGTAGTAGATGAGCACCAGACGCAGCACTCCTAGCAGACAACGATGGCCAGATCTATGAACCCCTTGCACACAACGATCGTGCTCTCGGTGGTGCTTCTTCTCGTCTTCTTGGCTAATCATGGGCAAAGTAAGTACTATCACCTAGATAATCACGAGACTTATTCTTATTGTCCCACCTCAGTTAATTTGACTTTCCGTTCTATTTTCTTTCTTCAAATTTTTGGTGCACACGGTTACTTCGGATGCTTACGGTTAATTCGCCAAGTGATTGTGTATGGATTACATGCTACGTACTTGATAGTAACATGAAGATTAACATTTTGTTTTCTTTCCACAGGCAGAAACTTGGATCCAGACATGGGAAACGGTAGTAAGGTCATTTTGCCAGGCGATCTGTGCCGAGCTGGATCCTGCGCAGATATGCCGGGGTGTTACTGCTGTATGAGCGACGACATCTGCCGCCCTTCACTCGTCGCGTGCTCGAAAACCTGTGGAAGGTCTTCTTCTACCCGTGTTCTTCGCCGCCCTCCCGTCTAGTCCTAGTTGCGTGCATTTTATGGTTTAATTTAAGTCTGGAATAATGTGTAATTAAAAGAGTTGATGATTAAGTTTTCTTTGAAAACTTCTGATCTAATTCATCTTCAATCATGGTAATACGACAAACATAAAAATACATACGGATCTCTAGACCTCCTAGCGATGACTACAAGCACTAAAGTGGTCTGAAGGCACTGTTATCATAGCCCCTTCCGCGCCGGAGCCGGTAAAACTTGTTGCGGTAGACAGTCGGAAAGTCGCCGAATTAAGGACGCATAGAACCAGCGCTCCAGAACAGTAACCGTTGCCGATGAAGAGTAGCTTATAGATCAAAAGGATCCAACCTGAAAAACATGAACATAGACAAATGACGGCCAGATCCGAGCAGATCCACCAAAGACAGATCCCCCGGAGACACACCATCACAAGCCCACCTAAGATGCTAAACGCACCACTGAAATAAGGGCTAGGCGGGAAGAATCTTATTTCATCTTCAGGGAGCCGCCGCAGCCTCGCATTACTAAGCAAGACACAAACCCTAATAAAACTAAAAAAACATCTAAAAAAGAAGCCCTCCTGCCGGTATGCGCCAGGATCCACCACACTCCTGTGGCCCTAAGGCCACCGGAGGCGAGGTACACCGGCAGCGGCACTGACGAGAGGCAGATGAACTCTAGGTTTTTTTAAGAGGAGGCGTATTTATCTATGTTCATTATCGATTGGTTTAATCTATTTTTTAACTTTGTAAAACGAAAATCTCCTTATGGTATTTTTTTTGTTTCGTTAGCTAATTTGGCCGTCCAAAATTAGAAAGTGATGTTCGGGCGATTTAAGAGCATCAATTTTGAGCTTTGCCGGAGCGGGCGTTGGAGGCATACCCGTCATTTTCCCCTGTGGGGGGTTGCCTTTCGAGGTCCAGCCTTATGTCTGCTCCTAGTGGATCAAGTTCGCATGGTGTGTCCATGTCGGCTAGGCAGGTGCGCAGCCTCAGGGTCGGTGTGGAAACCGGATTGGTGGCCTTAGAGATTGCTTCTGTGATGAAGGGATGTCTACTCTGCCCGCTTGGGTGGGAGCGGTGTCGACTCTTCAGGTGTGCATCCTTGGGGCTGCCGAGGAAGCCAGAGTGGTGGTTTTACAGATCATGTCAGTGAGATTTGGGTGATTGGTCTGTCTGCTTGGGTAGTTGAGTCATTGTCCCACCAGGTGCACGGCCTCAGGGTCGGTGTATTGTGTTGTTGATGTTTGTGAGCCAAAGTATCGACTCTGGGCCATGTGGTAGGGTGTCGACTAGGGTCGCTTTGGTGGCAAAGTCTAATGGCATGCAAGTACATAGGATTTAGTTGTAGCCTTTTCGAAATAAGAGTATCGATCCCACAGGGAGCACACGAATCAATCTTTGTCTCTTGAAGAGTTTAAATAGCAGTGCCTGCAAGTTAGATGTGGTCCAAAGCAAAGTGAAAACGAAATAAAAGTATTGGGTGATTGTAGTGAACAGAGAAATAAACTTGCAAAAGTAAAATAAAGTAACACATGAAGTGAGTGAAGATTGTGAGAATCAATAGGACTAACGCATTTACACGTACTCCGGATTCCCCACCAGTATGTACCTACACGACCGATAACTAAGCATAATGCTACGTCGGATTCCTAAGTCACTTTATATGTTTTTATTTATGGGCGAAGCCAAGTACAGATGCATGCATACACAAGGCAGCACCGTCGCATACGCCACTACCATTCATTCCCACTCCAGTTGCTACATGATAATTAAGGGGGTCTTCCCCGTGGACGTAGCTAAAAGTGTTCTCTGTTTACCCCCTGTTGTAACGATCACAGACGAAGAGAGACAGGAACGGTCACTAATCTACCTTCGAAACCAGCTGTCACACTAGCAGTAATAACCTTCCATCCAAAATTCGCATGTGTTGGATGGTCGACTTCACCCAACATCAAGAAGATTATTAACATAAACATATAAAGTGGATCTTAAATCCTACTACCAAACGATCTCTGACATACTAGGGTTCCTCCATATCCCGGAGAACTAGGGAACTACTCGCGCATTGAGGGCATGAATGATACGAGATGGATTATGATGATCATGACTGAAGGAAATATGCCCTAGAGGCAATAATAAAGTTATTATTTATTTCCTTATTTCATGATAAATGTTTATTATTCATGCTAGAATTGTATTAATCGGAAACTTACTACATGTGTAAATACATAGACAAAACAAAGTGTCCCTAGTATGCCTCTACTTGACTAGCTCGTTTATCAAAGATGGTTATGTTTCCTAACCATAGACATGTGTTGTCATTTGATGAACGGGGTCACATATTTAGGAGAATGATGTGATGGACAAGACCCATTCGTTAGCTTAGCATTATGATCGTTACAGTTTCATTGCTACTGCTTTCTTCATGACTTATACATGTTCCTCAGACTATGAGATTATGCAACTCCCGAATACCAGAGGTACACCTTGTGTGCTATCAAACATCACAACGTAACTGTGTGATTATAAAGATGCTCTACAGGTGTCTCCGAAGGTGTTTGTTGGGTTGGCATAGATCGAGATTAGGATTTGTCACTCCGTGTATCGGAGAGGTATCTCTGGGCCCTCTCGGTAATGCACATCACTATAAGCCTTGCAAGAAATGTGACTAATGAGTTAGTTGCAGGATGATGCATTACGGAACGAGTAAAGAGACTTGCCGGTAATGAGATTGTACTAGGTATGATGATACCGACGATCGAATCTCGGGCAAGTAACATACCGATGACAAAGGGAACAACGTATGTTGTTATGCGGTTTGACCGATAAAGATCTTCGTAGAATATGTAGGAGCCAATATGAGCATCGAGGTTCCACTATTGGTTATTGACCGGAGATGTGTCTCGGTCATGTCTACATAGTTCTCGAACCCGTAGGGTCCGCACGCTTAACGTTCGATGATGATTTGTATTATGAGTTATGTGATTTGATGTACCGAAGTTTGTTCGGAGTCCCGGATGAGATCACGGACATGATGAGGAGTCTCGAAATGGTCGAGAGGTAAAGATTCATATATTGGAAGATTGCATTTGGACATCGCAATGGTTCCGAGTGGTTCGGGCATTTTTCTAGAGTACCGGGAGGTTACCGGACCCCCCCCCCTCGGAGAAGTATTGGGCCTAGTGGGCCTTATTGGAGGAGAGGAGAAAGGGCCACGTGAGAGGGGCGCCCCTCCCCTTGATCAAACCGAATTGGACTAGGGGAGGGGGTCGGCCCCCCTCTTTCCTTCCCCCTCTCTCTCCCTTACCTTTCCCTCCGGTGGAAGAAAGGAAAAGGGGGGGCGAATCCTACTTGGACTAGGAGTCCAATAGGACTCCCCCTAGCGTGCCCAAACCTGGTCGGCCTCCTCTCTCCCTTCCTCCTTTATATATGTGGCCAGGGGGCACCCCAATAGCACAACAGATAATCTCTTAGCCGTGTGCGATGCCCCCTCCATAGTTTTACACCTCAGTCATATCGTCGTAGTGCTTAGGCGAAGCCCTGTGTCGGTAACTTCATCATCACCGTCACCACGCCGTCGTGCTGACGAAACTCTCCCTCGGCCCCAGCTGGATCTAGAGTTCGAGGGACGTCACCGAGCTGAACGTGTGCAGACCAGGGAGGTGACGTGCGTTTGGTACTTGATCGGTTGGATCGCAAAGACGTTCGACTACATCAACCACGTTATTTAACGCTTCCGCTTTCGGTCTACGAGGGTACATAGACACACTCTCCCCTCTCATTTCTATGCATATCCTAGATAGATCTTGCGTGATCGTAGGAATTTTTTTGAAATAATGCGTTCCCCAACAGTGGCATCCGAGCCAGGTCTATGCGTAGATGTTATATGCACGAGTACAACACAAAGAGTTGTGGGCGATAATAGTCATACTGCTTACCAACATGTCATACCTTGATTTAGCGGTATTGTTGGATGAAGCGGCCCAGACAAACATTATGCGTACGCTTACGCGAGACTGGTTCTATCGACGTGCTTCGCACACAGGTGGCTAGTGGGTGTCTGTTTCTCCAACTTTAGTTGAATCGAGTGCGACTATGCCCGGTCCTTGTTGAAGGTTAAAAAAACACACTTGACAAAAATCGTTGTGGTTTTGATGCGTGGGTAAGAATGGTTCTTGCTAAGCCCGTAGCAGCCACGTAAAACAACAAAGTAGAGGACGTCTAACTTGTTTTTGCAGGGCATGTTGTGATGTGATATGGTCAAGATGTGATGATATATAATTTGTTGTATGAGATGATCATGTTTTGTAAAAGTTATCAGCAACTGGCAGGAGCCTTATGGTTGTCGCTTTATTGTATGAAATGCAATCGCCATGTAATTGCTTTACTTCATCACTAAATGGCAGCGATAGTCGTAGAAGCAATAGTTGGCGAGACAACAACAATGCTTCGATGGAGATCAAGGTGTCAAGCCGGTGACGATGGTGATCATGACGGTGCTTTGGAGATGGAGATCAAAGGCACAAGATGATGATGGCCATATCATATCACTTATATAAATTGCATGTGATGTTTATCCCTTATACATCTTATTTTGCTTAGTACGTAGGTAGCATTATAAGATGATCTCTCACTAAATTTCAAGGTATAAGTGTTCTCCCTGAGTATGCACCATTGTGACAGTTCGTCGTGCCGAGACACCACGGATGATCGGGTGTGATAAGCTCTACATTCACATACAACGGGTGCAAGCCAGTTTTGCACACGCAGATTACTTGGGTTAAACTTGACGAGCCTAGTATATGGAGATATGGCCTCGGAACACTGGAGACCGAAAGGTCGAGCGTGAATCATATAGTAGATATGATCAACATAGTGATGTTCACCATTGAAAACTACTCCATCTCACGTGATGATCAGACATGGTTTAATTGATTTGGATCACATGATCACTTAGATGATTAGAGGAATGTCTATCTAAGTGGGAGTTCTTAAGTAATAT